TTTTCATAAGCTGAACGCCATAATCATCACAATTATACCAAAGTAAGGCTTGACATATCTCGCTTTGCATGTAATGCGTCTGTATCTGGTTTCACCTTTTGAGTTGCCGTACTGACATAAATGAACATTTGCACAATATTCTAATTTTTCGAGTTTCACCTGTATTATTAGGCACTTTTAGCCTCCCCTCACACAAATATGTAGTGTTACATTTAATTTATAAATTCAATTACTGTATTAATAATTTGTGTAACAATCATAGTATATTGAAATGTCCAATGGAAATGTTGCAGTTGTAAAAAAAAGTAATTGCAACTTAATAAAATTAGAACAATAATTAGTTAAAATTATTAGCGCTCATTCTTTTCTCTAAGATACATAAAATCCTCTTCGCGTCCAGCTCAGCTCCCTGTGACTTCACGGATGTCTTTTCTTGGCATCGGTACAGTAGCAGTTTGCCTTATTCTGAAACATTTTTCCAACAGCCCTATCCCATGTTTTCTATAGTCCCCCATCAAAACACTAATTAATCTGATCCTGCTCACTTTCTGTACCTCCACAAAGTCAACCAAGCACTGCGATCTATTGAGGACTTCTCAAAGAAGTAGTTTTTTTGGGGGGGAGTCACTCATCTAACGATTCTGCACACACAGATTTATTTATATTTTCCCATGTAATTAAGACAATATAGGTTAGCTTCCCAGTTTCCTCAATTACTGACCAGATATATTTAAACTTTAGAAAATTTGCTCCGTTACATTCTACACATCATTACCTCCAACCAGTGAATTACCAGAAGCATAGTACCAAAAGGTGTGTCCTAATGTCTAACTTTGGGTCGTGGAGCCCAGAGACAGGAGCTGTTAAATACAAAGAAGATCACCATACCTAAGAAAAAAATTCAAAAGAATGTCATGCAGGCGTGAAAAATAATTTGCTAATATTCTTATTCTTTCAGTTGTTATCTTGTAAAGTTTTCCACCAGATCACAGTTTGCCAGAGACTCCTGCGCCAAAGGTATTTTTCTGCAAGCGACTCACAGGCTGATTAGAGCAACTGAACTAAGCTAAATGCTGTACTGTAATAGAAGCCAGGCAGTCAAGCAAGCAGGCAAACAAGGCAAATAGCTATGGTCCACTTGCTAACAGAACACAAGTACCGTTTCATGTTGAACTTCGGTTTGTTTGCAACCCAAGCAATCATCAATACATACCCAATTCACAGTTCTCTGGGAGATATTTTAGACTCATTATGCCAAAAGGATGTTAGCGTCTTGCGCTACAGCTCTGACCAGAAAGGAAGATCCTGCTCCTAATCGACTATATACAAGTGTCTGTCCTTGGTAATGGCTTTTCGGGGTCAGCTTTCTCAGGCTAGTAATGTGCAAGTTCATTTGAATTATCTCAGAGGAATCAATTATACCTCAGCTTTGGTTTTTTTTTTTTAAAGACATAAGCACTATTATTGCTAGCATGGACAGCTCATCCTGAAAGTAATTATGCAGCTGACTCACACTTAATGGAGAATTAATTGGGCACAAGCAACTTTGATCCGTCTCTTCACTGATGCGATTAAGGGCCCTGGCCTTGGGCACGATAGGGTTATTCTGAGCAAATTGCTGATACGAGAGATTTTAAAACGTCATTTGTGAAAATCAAAATACTTTCCAAAGAATCATGCATAATATATCATGAACTCTGCCCTAAGCTAGGCAGGTTTGGGGATGGGATTTATTTTTTTGCAGTGAGATATCAGAACTTGGCACCATGGCGTATTTTCCATGGTCGGCACATTTTTCATTCCATTGTTGTTATGTGCAGCTAAGGCAAGCACCTTAGGTCAATCGATACAATGTAATATATATACGACAAATCAATACTGATTTGAATGAGCCATCAAGATTAGATTTATCAGCCAGTCAGTTGACCTGAAGACTTTGAAATATCTCTCCTGATTTCAATGTGTTAATTCATGATAAAAAAAGGGCTGAATATACAATACCACTGTAACCTATCATAGAACAGCGACGTGTGTGTATGTGTGTGTGTCATGTACGCAAACAGGCACAACTATAAATTATAGGCTGCCTGACTCCATCGCGACTCTGGTAGTGTACCATATACATTTAAAGCAATATAAAAACAAACAATACAAAAAGCACACATCCAGAAAAATAACACAGAATTCTTACAAAACAATCATCCGCAAAAGGCCTGGGGGACAAGACATTTGAATAAGTTTGAGGTGGGGGCCACAGGAATCTCTGGGGAGATCTCATTCCAGAGGGCAGGCTCTGCAACAGACAAGGCCCACTTCCTGGCTCCCATCAGATGGCATTGTTTAACTGATGGGATCCGGAGCATGAGACCCTGCCAGATTGTATAAAATGGGCAGCTGCAGAAACTATGGGAGACAAATGGTCCCTCAGGACTGCAGAAATCTGCACATCCAGTGGATGGCAGCAAAGAGATACAAAACTCTCACTCTTTGCTGTTGTCCTGTGGCCTCCAGCTATTTTCAGCCCAGATATGGTAGCCCAGGTACACATCTACCCTAACTGCAAGTCACAGCTATTTTATACACAATCATGTCATATGCATATCTTTATAACATAGCATGCATGCATACACATGGGAGAGGACTTATATTTGTAAATATACATAATAGGATACAAAATACATTGCATTCCCCTTGGAATCCCTGGCCAGAAGG